GCTTATGGGAACATCGTATCGTGCTCTACAGCGTAGGCTGTACCACGGAGAATGTATCGTCGGCAATAGCGAATACGTAGCTGCCGACAGCTTAACCTGCGTGGGGGGAGGCGTGTCGACTGAGTATATTGCTTTTTTTCAGGGTGAAGGAGTCGTTGTTCGCACGTCACATTGAGATTTCCGTCCGTATTAGACGGGTAAGCCTCAAGCATGTGCAGGCACCAAAAATGTCTCTCGGGTCACGTATATCTCTAAGCATAATTCCCCCTTTCACCGGGGTTTTAGAAAAACTACTACACTTTTTTCAGTCAACGACGACTTTCTTCCCGTACCACTACCTGTCCCCATGCGGCTATCCCGGACGTTGCACTGGTTAAGGGGGCCATGGTTCCTATGGTTCTACCTGTTTGCGTTCAACTTGGCAGATGTGGTGATGTTTTACGTGTTGCTGTCATCCGACCACGACAAGTACCCATATCCCGTCATCTCGTTAACCCTCAACGTCGTGGTGTTAATCATGTTGGTATACGACCGACTCCATGCTCGGTTCATAGATGCTAAGCCGGGAGAAGAACCGACTCCGCGGCAGGCCAAAATCGGCAAATACACCAAAATGATAAGGAAACCGTATTTGTTGTTCAAGACGATCATCTGGTTGTTTATTTGTGCCATGTGCATTAGTCGGGTAATTCTAATCACCTACCGCCCCAGCACCGACGAGTTCCCTAGCCGAGGCGACCAAAACGCTTTCATCGTTGTCACTGTATTTGCCGCTATCTGTGACTGTGGCCTTTTGACCATCTGGTGGCAAGCAAGTATCCGGACCACCCACGGGCTTTTAGCGTTTGCTCTGGCAATTCACGGGCTTTTGGGAGTTGGGATCGTACAAATCAACATCAACTTGATCAAAAACCAGGAGCATTTGAGCCGGATTCATAACTTGTACGTTTTTGATGGCGCCTTCATTTTGGCGCAAGCATTTTTCGGTCTCACCGTCACCATGGTTATCTCCGATAAAAACCGGTTGAACCTGGTCATCGGCAAATTAATCTTCTTGTACGACGCCATGTTGCTTGTGGTCACCGCCCTCACTGTTGCTTGTCTCATCACCGTGTTCCCTACTTTGCACTACCATCAGGATATGCCGGTGCTGAACCCGATTTTGTTTGGCATTTCCATCGGTGTGGCCATCGTTTGTTATGTGTGCTCACGGGTATTCAGAATCAGATTCCCCTCGACTGACTTGGAGGTGATGGAATACGACCTTTCTACGTTAACGGAAACTCAACGCCAGGGCTGGGCCAAGGTGATTGATTTGAATCACAAGCTCAACGCTGGTGTATCCGGTGACGCAGTGATCTCGTTGATGAACTGTTACTGCCAAGCTGAACTCCCGGGCATGACGTGTAAGGTGTTGCGTGTGGTGAAGAAGCTGTCACTCGAACGCGAGTACACTCCACGTGATTTAGAAAAGGCTAATGACATTAGTAAGGCGTGGGACGCTTTGGACCACGAAGGCCTTTTGTTTCAAAAGGATGGCAAGGAAGACCCGCAAAGTTGGCTGGATACCACTACGGTTCTCGAAGAATATAAACCATTGAGTAAGACCAAACTCAAACGGATGGCCAAGAAGCAAAAGTCTGAGCAATTGATGGAGTCCATTGAAGAGTTGCAATTAAAGATGGAAAAGTTCTACAACGAATTGACCAACACTGAAGCTCTCATTATGATCACCATCGTTGAAGAATTTGATTTGGCTGAACGGATCCCCGCCAAGTTCGGTGGTAAGTGGTTACAACGTCATTTCGGTAAGAACTCCAAGTGGCCGCTTTTGGTTCTTAAGTTCGGGTTGTTGGGTTTCCACTGGCCCTTCAAGCGACTGACCTTCTACTGCTCTCTGACCAAGAAGCCAGTAGCGAGATCAGCCGCAATCATGCACGCGCTTTCTGAGTGGAACGAAAAGCTGGGTGAGCGGTGCACGGTTATGGTGGACCCTACTTACAAGCATGATTATGCCGAAACCGGGATTCGCTTCTCCGGATGGTATAAGGTTGGGTTGCCGTCGACTCATATTGCCGACTTGCGGCCTTATAAAAACAAGACGTTGCAACAATACTTCAAGGCCAAGAAGTATCGGGTGCAAGATAAAGCATTTAACGAAGCCAATGGTGAAGTAATCGAAATCAAGGATGTGACGATGGAGCAATGTGAAGAGATCTGTTACCTCAACGAAATGATCGGTGACGCTCGTTCCGACAATGACCAATCGGACACGTTATTCCATCCCACCCCGCAATTTGTTTACGACCAGTGTCATATTGACAACAGCAAGAACTACCGTTCGCTTCTTTTCCTCAAGGTGAATGGCAAGTACATCGCCCTGTGCATCATCTACCGGCTCGGTGAAACCATGACCATGGACATTAACGGCATTGATTATGGTGCCGACGCCAAACAGTATAAAGCATATTTCGTGTTGATGCAAGAAGTGATCCGCCTCGCCCTCAAGGAGAACATCAGCTTCGTCGACTTTGGCCCCACAACAGAAAACGCCAAGGTCGACATCGGGTGCTCAGTGGTGCCACTTGTGGGGCTGTTGTACACACGCATGAAGGCCATTGGGCCCATCGTTAAATTTGCCGCCGACAGGGTCGACGTGTAAAGTATTTTCATAGAGCATGACGTCACGACGTAATTTTAAAAGGATAATTTTTAAAAGTAATGTAGTTTCTTGATGCACGTTGACAGCGCGCACCCCCCTGTCAACAAAGCCCTCGATAGAGGAACAGCGATCAATCAATCAACCCCACTCGCACCAAAACGCGCCATCCATGCCGAAGATCGCGTTCATCCATCCTGACCTAGGTATAGGAGGAGCCGAACGACTTGTGGTCGATGCTGCTTGTGGACTTCAAGCGCTCGATAACTCTGTCGTCGCGTACACTCTGCACTGTGATCGCAGTCACTGCTTTGATGAGATCACCGATGGCGAACTTGCCGTCGAAGTTTACGGTGATTGGCTCCCTACTACGATTGCCAAACGATTCCATATTGTATGTGCCGCGTTGCGCCAGCTTTGGCTTACGCTTAGGCTCTTGACTAATGGCGAGCGCTATGACTATTTCATTGTTGACCAACTTAGTTACTGCTTACCGCTCCTCAAAATATTTGGTGGCAATGCCCGAGTTGTATTCTATGGTCATTTCCCTGACCAGCTTCTAGCCCAAAGAGGAGGAACCTTAAAACAACTTTACCGAATCCCGTTCGATTGGTTCGAGCAGTGGACAACTGCGTGGGCTGATAAAGTGGTGGTGAACTCTAAGTTTACTCGTTCGGTGTTTCAAAAGACCTTCGCCAATTGCCCCGAGCCACTTGCCGTTATTTACCCGTGCATCAATGATAACCAAACTATAGACGTTGCCGCGAAGACCGAAATAGACGAATTTTTCAAAGATTCGGATGTGTTCGTTAGTGTCAACCGGTTTGAACGCAAAAAGAACATCGAACTTGCCATTGAGGCGTTTGCCAAATTTAAAAAGACTCACCCTCAAAAAGTAAGACTTGTCGTCGCTGGTGGATGGGATGCTCGGGTTCGTGAGAATGTCATGTATCTTACTGAGTTGAATCAGCTTTGCGAGAAGTTGAAACTTACTCTGTTTACCATTCGTGGTCGTCTACTTATGATGCCTCCACTGACGGATGTGCTTTTCCTTCCGCTGGTTCTGCTGAAACTCAAAAATGCATTAATTGATCACGCTAACATTTTGTTGTATACCCCAAGCCATGAACACTTTGGCATCGTCCCTGTCGAGGCTATGGCTCTTGGAACTCCAGTGTTGGCGGTCAATAACGGGGGACCGCTTGAACTGATTGTGCACTTCAATCAACGTGACAACTTGGATGTAGCTACCGGGTTTACTGTTGCCCCTGATGTTGAAGAGTGGGCCTCAACGTTGTCAAATTTCTATGGCTATAACACAGCTGTTAAGTCAAAGCTCGGAGCGAATGGCCGCGAGCGAGCACAAGCGATGTTCACACGCCTGAAGATGGCAAAATCATTCATGGAAGAACTTCGCACCACGGATGCAAAGTCAGTGACGGCAAGAGTGAGTGCAGTAGTGATTTTAGCTGCCTTATTTGTGGCGTTGGTTGGATTTGTTGTACATAGACTTACTTGAAGACGTCCTTAATAGCCTTCCACAATCCTAACTTAGTGTCGTAATCACGAACAGGAACTTCAATTGTAGTTTCCTTGTCATCCTGGTGGGGTCCCTTCAGACTGGGGGTATCTTCACCAAAAATACCTAAAAAGCCATTACCTTTTCCTCCTGAGTGACTGCGGTAATTGTTTAGAATACGTTTTGCTCGATGCTGTTCATACCATTGGGTGTATCTCTCAGGGAATTCTCTTACCATCCGCTGATATGATTCATTCAGTTCCTTGTCAACTGAGAGTTTCAAACGGTGAAGATGTGTCAGAGGGCACTGAAGATTATACAGGCGAATCTTTTGATTAATGTCAGCGACATGAGCCTCAACATATTCCTGGTCTTTTTCTGGTAATGTTAAAATCACGTTAGGACTAAAGTTGGCCTTGAACAACTCTAAACCACCGAAGAGGGTGGCAGATTTGAGATGTAACTGATTGGAAATAGCCAGCTTGTTTAAGACATAATTAAACCACCGATCATCTAAGCTTTTGCGTAACCCAGTAATCTCACTATGGATTGATTGTTGTGACTCAACAAATGGGGGGAGCACCTGTTGCTTATTGAGTAATTGATTCATGAAATAGTTGGTGTCAGTACTGTTTCGAAGATGATCGCGGTCAAGAGGTTTGCCCCGAATCAGCGTCATTTCCGCCAGATCAAATTTTCCCGTGTCTTGATTGATCAGCGCATTGATTTTAGCCCCCGCCACCAGTCCAATTAAATCCACACCCAGAGATGGACCGTTGGTTTTGAACATCAGTGGTCCTAGGAGACGTTCGCGGTACATCTCTCGAAACTGCTCATCTTCCAGCTTTTTGGGGTTGAGTTTGTAATCAAGCAGCGCTTCACGAGCATCATGGAGACGGCGGCCATTATTTTTCATTGGTTTTGGTGCCAGGTCCATCAACATACGCAAGTTGCCATCGATGACCAGCTCCGAGCCCTTCCAAGGTTGAGCCTGAGCAATGTCTTTAGCATGGGGATTTGTGTTGAGCAAAGGTTCGCTTTTGATGTACCCTGCAGCTCGCTGATCAATGGAATTGGGTTTGTATTGATCGTATAATTTGTTGAAGGTGGGATCTAGCTTTGCCTGTTGCGAAGGGTTACCGCTATGTTGGAGTTTCGCTTCAGCAATTTGGGTAAACCGATCGATTAACGCCGAGTGGTCTCTTTCAGCCTCTTCGGACTCCTTACTAGCATTTTCAGTCGGTTTTTTGCTGTACAATCGCCGGCATCTGATAACTGACGGATGGGGTCGCAACCGCATATTAAGTTGATTCGGGTGGCGCGATTCCCCTCATACTATGATGCGTGATGCTCTGGGGTAATCGCAATACAGATGAATCACATCTATTAGTTGAAATTAAAATCGAAAGGATTGTCAGAGGTTTAATGGAAAAATCGTTGCGATTGACTTCAGGGTTTATAGCAGAGTCAAAGACACCGTCCATTCATGGTAATCAGTCGACGCTGTCAAGAGCTTGGACATGGTTTGGCGCTAACTGAAAAAGTTTAAGGTTGTAGAGGAGTTGTGGCAATCAATTTGATCCGGACCGAGATTGATGATTACGCGTCGTCAGGAAGTGTCGCAATGATCAACCGGCTTAGTGTTCAAATTTAAGACCTACATTTTGGATTACGTGGCTAGTGTATAAAGGATATCACCACCAATGAAAACGAAGCGAGTCGCGGTAGTAGACCCCATTCACTGCTTTCTTAGTGCTGGCAGCCGCGTGGGTGCATATGATTATTCGCCACAGAATATTATAGTGATTTTGTTCGTGTGCACGACGCGCGGTTGGTGACTTTCAAAATCTGCCACGAATCTTTTTGTCCAGCAATATAGATGTGGATCTTTGACTGGTGTAAGTAGCCTGGAAAATAAAGAGACGAGTGGAGACATGACTAACATTTAGTTCAAGACGTTTTGTCCCAGCTTGGGCTCTGGAACAAGCACGCCAAGCTTCTTTTCCTTGGGTTGGACAACGCCGGGAAGACCACGCTTTTGCACATGTTGAAGAACGACCGCATGGCGACGTTAGACCCCACGCTTCACCCTACTCTGGAGGAACTCTCGATCGGTTCGGTTCGATTCACCACCTTCGACTTGGGTGGTCACGAAATGGCGCGTAGATTGTGGAAGGACTACTTCCCCGAAGTGAACGGCATCGTGTTTTTGGTCGACGCTGCCGACCCCGCCCGGTTCCCCGAAGCCAAGCGTGAGTTGGAATCGTTGTTTGCTATTGAAGAGTTGGCCAACGTGCCGTTCTTGATCTTGGGTAACAAGATCGACAAGCCCACCGCTGTAGGTGAAATGGAGTTGAAGAGCGCCTTTGGCTTGTACAACACTACCGGTAAGGATACTGGCAAGTTGGCTGACGGCCAGCGTCCCATCGAGTTGTTCATGTGCTCGATCGCCATGAGATCGGGGTACGGGGAAGGGTTCAAGTGGTTGTCGCAACACATCTAAGCTGTATATTTAATGAAGAAGAAACGTCCGTTTTAACATCCTATAAATCTACATGTAAAATTTTATATTCGATAGTTGGTGGATTTTCTCACTGTCTCATCGAGTAAGGGCATCTCACCCCTCAATATCTAACCCCCTCGCCACACATCGCACTCCTCATCGCAACTATGGAAGGAGGCATGAACAAGGTTCCGCTCCATCCTGAGCCGAAGAAGTGGAAGGCTCCTAAGGGGCCGAAGCCTGTCCAGCACAAAAACAAAAATTCCATCGGGTTGGGTCGCCACATTGCTAACCAAAGACGGAAGGAAAATCAAGTGGTGTACCTACCTGATGGTCAAATGCAATTCACCACCGATAAAAAGGAGGCTGACTGGGTGAAGCTTCGGTCAGTGACTCAAGAAAACGCTCTTGATGAGTTTCTTAACACCGCCCAATTGGCCGATACCGATTTTACCGCTGAAAAGGAAATCAAGATCATCAAGGTTGGTGGCACTCAGATCGTGAACCAGCTGGGGTTGTTGAATGACGAACAGTTGGAGGAAATGAGAAGAAAGCACAACTTATTCCAGAATAATTTGCGGGTTCCGAGACGGCCCCAATGGCATAAGGATCAGCTGAGGCTTGAAATCAACCGCCAGGAAAATTTGGCATTTTTGGAATGGAGACGTCAGTTGGCTGCTCTCACCGAGAATAACGATCTTTTGTTGACCCCCTTTGAACGGAACCTTGAAGTTTGGAAGCAATTATGGCGTGTTGTCGAGCGGAGTGATCTTGTGGTACAAATTGTCGATGCCAGACACCCCTTGTTTTTCCGGTCAGTCGATTTGGAAGCTTACGTTCAAGAGCTCAGCACTGAGGAGAAGCCCAAAAACAATTTATTGCTTGTGAATAAGGCTGATTTATTGACCTTTGAACAAAGAAAAGCTTACGCTGACTACTTCAACGAAAAGGGCATTGAATTCGTGTTCTTCTCAGCGCTTGAAGCGAACGAGTTGTTGGAGAAGGAAAAAGAGGAGCGGGAAAGGGCTGGTCTCAGTGGTGAAGTTCCCGCCGAACTTTTAGGTCCTGCCACTCCTGAAGAAGAAAATGACACTCCCCAAACCGTTAACACTGACCCCACTCATATTCTCAGTGTAGGCGAACTTGAACAGCTTTTCATTCATAAGGCTCCCGAAGTTGAAGACCGGGCCCTTCAGATTGGTTTGGTTGGTTACCCTAACGTCGGTAAGTCGTCCACCATCAACGCCCTCATCGGTTCGAAGAAGGTATCGGTGTCTGCGACTCCCGGTAAGACCAAGCACTTCCAGACACTTAATCTCCTGCCCGATGTCGTGCTTTGTGATTGTCCTGGGTTGGTGTTCCCCAATTTCGCTTACTCTAACGGTGAATTGGTGTGTAACGGTGTGCTCCCTATCGATCAATTGAGGGAACACATTCCGCCGGCGTCATTGGTGGCTCAAAGAATCCCCAAATTCTTTCTTGAAGCTGTCTACGGTATCCACATCCCTATCCAGAAAGTTGAAGATGGGGGTAATGGTATTTACCCTACCGCTCGTGAATTGCTTAACGCTTACGCTCGGGCTCGTGGTTACATGACTCAAGGGTTTGGTTCTGCCGATGAACCTCGTGCCTCTCGTTATATTCTCAAGGACTATGTCAACGGCAAATTATTGTACGTTAATCCTCCTCCCAAGCGGGTAGGAGAAGGCACTGCCGACTCTGACTACGACTTGCCCACTCTTGAAGAATGCCGTGAGTTCAATAAAGATCTTTACACTCTTGCCAACTTGCCGCAAACTCGTCAGCAGCAAATTCTCGAAGCTATGCGTCATAAAGATATCAAGAAGGAAGAATTTGATTTACTGAGAGACTTGGCTATGCTCAACTTCGGTCAACATGTGGCTGCCACTGACGGCTCTCAAGCCCCCACCACAGTATTTTACGGTGGTAAGCAAGCTGCCTTGGAAAGTGCTGGCGATGAACTTGATCGTGACTTCTTCAAGCTTGGTGGCGTTGAGGGTAAGATGACCTCGCCTTTCCACAAAAAGGGTGGCGATGCCAAGGGGAACAAGAAGCACAACAAGGCCAACAAGAAGAAGGATAAAAAGTTGCGGGTAGTAGGCTACTAGGTTACGAAATGGTCATGAATAAATGGAATATAATAGACATCTGCAATCATGTTTTTCTTTAATTGTCGCCGTAGATAGCTTTGTGCGCTGCCACTGCCAGCACCTGCTGAAAGCCGCACGAGCACGCAGCTCTCCACAGACTATCAAGCACCATGGCCGACGCCACCGTCATGTCGCTGGCAGTGTCGGATAAGACAAACAGCCACGGCAGCGAGCAACCTGATTTCTCCATTGAACAGGTCCAGCTCCAGTTTGGCCTCAATCACGACCTTCGAACAATTCGGGTCGCCAATGATCACATGGTATTGTTCATGAGTAGCCAGATGGCGCTAATTGACCTTGACAACCCCAGTCAAGTGAAAAACGTCCCCTTACCGGCTAATGAGACGTTTAAGGCGGGGTTCATTGACCCCCTGGGAGTCCATGTCATCGTGCAAACCCATTCGCTCAGTTGTTTCTACCTCCATGCACCTACTTACTCTCAGCTCAAGCCGCTCCATAAGTTTAGAGGGATTACCGAGATTGTTTCCATTGAGTTCTCTCCCCCGACTCAGGAATTATCTACTGGAGATTTCTTATTAGCGACGGAACTGGCAGTATATATTGGGAATATCAAAGCGCATTCAGCAACCGAGGGCAACAAGAAAGATGATAAATTCCTCAAGCAAGTTTGGAAGCTGGATCAAGTTTTGGTGGGGGCAGTATTCCTGAAGAGTTATACACAGATTCATGTATTTTCGAATTACAAGCACTGGACGTGGGATACGTTTGATACATCTTTGGGAGAGATACTGAGGGTGATGAAGACCGCCCCAATTGAACATGAATTGAATGGCAAGCAATGGATGCTATGCAGTCTGCCGGATCATCTGTTCGTGTTGATCGACCAACAGCCTCCACATGCTATTGAAAGTGATCACCCTGAGATTCTCCTCAGCAACTTGAAGCAATTGGATGAAATTTCTGGAACTCTCCACCAAATTTGTGTACTGTCACATCATTTATTTTGCATGGCTTTGAACGCCCCAATTGTGTATTTGGTCAATACCCTCAGTGAGGGCTCCTTTCAAAAGATCAGTCTTCCAGAGGTAGCCAAATCAACCCAATACTCAATCACATCTGATGTTACTAAAGGTACATATTGGGTGTACAATCGTAACCTGATATTCGAGATCGTGGTCGAAAATGAACTGATTCTGGTGTGGCACAACTACTACAAGTTAGGCAAATATGACGAAGCTTTGGCCTGCCTTCCTGATGAGCCAGTGAATGCAGCTAAACGAGATATGGTTCACATTCGCCAGGGTTATGATTACCTTCAAAAAGGAGGCTTTGGTCTTGATGTGGGTGGAGAACATACCGACGACGACAATACTCAATTGGCCGCACTTCAAATCAAGGGAATGAAAATTCTAGCAGAACTGAGTGAGCTGTTTGAGAAAGTCTGTTTGATGCTTTTGAATCATAGGCCACAGGCCGGAATTTCTAATGCACGAGCAGCTATGCTGCTGCGGCTTCTTGTGGAATATTTGCTTATAAAGTTCCGCCTTGCTCGTGAGGCTCGCAATCACATTCAGATGGTAGTTCTTTCCCTGTTGATCGTGGAGCAGCTTCTAACCACACTTAGCCACACGCAAAATAAAACTAGCCGTCGTGAACTTGACGACCAATTTCGAGAATTCTTACAACAAAATTTTCGATACTTTGATAAGGACACCATTTATCAAATCATCAGTCGTCTCCACTTTCATGATAAGTTGGTCTACTATGCTGACTTGATCAAAGACTATGACTATATTATTCATTACTATATTGATCGGAGTGAATGGTCAGCAGCTTTAGCCCTGGTGGCCAAGGTGTTTTTCAGCAATGATCATTCAAATGACATCATTTACGATACCCTGTCGACATTATTGTTGAATTATCCCCAGGGGACAGTTGAGATGTGGCTCAAACTTCAAAATGCTGAGGGCGTCGACGAAGCATTTGACCCGATTAAAGTTCTTCCAGCGTTGCTTACTTATAACCGCCAATCACGCCTTGACAGTGTGGGCGATAATAAGGCTATCACGTACCTTCTGCGATTGATTTATGATAAGGCCGTGCGAAACCGAACCATTAATAATTATTACCTCATGCTTTTGTTGGCTTATTCTAGGGATTATGAGGTTGTTGCCAAACATTTAATGAAGTTCCTACAACTGGGAATAGGTCCATTCGACCTGCAAGTTGTCTTGCGAATGTGCGTTGCACAACAACATTTCCAAGCAGCAGTATGGGTGTTGATTGACTTGGGATTATATGACCAAGCTTTAGAGGTGCTGATTCGCCATAGGCTTCCAAAATTGGGAGAATTTGTGCTTCGCAAATATGATCAAAACCACAGGGAAGATGAGGGGACTGCGTCGACAGGTGTTCAGCTTTCTCGTGCAAATTTTGCCAATCGCAAGAGACTTTGGTTGGAGTATTCCCGTTATCTCATCGATGAGGTTGAGCTGGATCCGGTGAGAGAGTTTGTTGGTATTGGAGATGCTGAGATGGACCATCTGAAGAAGCTTAATTTAGTGCTTCGCTTTTTACTTGAGCTTGACGGTCAAATGAAGCAAGAGGGTACTGTGACACTCAAAGATTTATTACCCTTGTTACCGGACCTGGTTATCATTAATGATTTCCGCGACGAGATCGTGAAATCGCTCAACACCTACAATTCCAGCATCAATCAATTGCTGTTAGAAATGAAGGAGCTGTTGTCAATTGCTGCCCGCCTCAAAGAGGAGATTCGCGAAATGACACAGGTGAGTACGAAGGCCAAGTTAGCCCTGGTGATTCAACCAGGCGAACCGTGTCATCTTTGTCAAAAACTTTTGCTCTCCACCAAAAGTGTTGTTTATTTCCCGAATTGTCATCATGGTTTCCATAAGCAATGCGTGGTCCGAGCTTATCTTGATCTGGGGAACTACCAATTCCGCAAAGCATTCACTCAATTCAAGCGTCACAATGCTTTGGTGAATAAGGAAGAGATGGAGAAAATGTTGGTCAAGGAGTGCTTCTTGTGCAGTGACCATAATATCACCACAATTGACGAGCCTTTCGAAGAGGAAACAGGCTGGGAGTTATAACACATTGGATATCGACCGATCATATAATAAAAGATGATGAAAGGGCATGCTTGTCATGATTTTTAGTTATTCACGCCAATATAGCGACAACGCAGTGAAAGGCGTTCATGTAGAGTTGACGATAACAGTAATGTGATCGAAAATGAAACAGTGTCCTTGATGATAACAAGATCGCTACTTTGATATCCACATGTCCTTTTTTTGGACGCCTTCATATTTAGTTAGTGGTGCCGAAGAATGGAAATTTGAAACATCATCGATTCAATTACCAGTTTTGATGACAGTAAACATCAAACACGAAGTTGTCGTCTAATTTGAGGCTTGAGTGTCGTACGCGTGGCGCACTTCAGAACCCCTTAGCCTGTAGCCAAAATAATTTGTGCGACCGCGAAAACACTCATCCCATGCTGGGCTTGTTCAACAAACAACCTCTGGTTGCGACCGGTCAGGAGCTCCAAAACGATGTGGTTCTTGCCAATGGCCCCGAGGACCTGGTGCTGGACATTGCGTTTCTGTCGCAACTGAACCACTTGCTGGTGGCGCTGTGGGATGGGAAGGTCCGCATCTACGAAATCGACCAGCTGCTGGGCCAGAACCAAGGGCGGGCGATGTTTGAACACACGGGGCCTGTGCTTTCGGCCAGATGGTCTAATGATGGCACTAAGGTGGCGCTGGGGGCTACTGACAAGACGGTGAAGTTGTTTGACGTGCAATCTCAACAAGCGCAACAGATTGGTGTCCACGACGCCCCGGTACGCAGTATTCGATTCGTCGAATGTGGACCCACCAACACCCCGGTGGTGGTGCTGGGTTCGTGGGACAAGACATTGAAGTACTGGGATATGCGGCTGCCCCAGCCCGTGGCGACGGTGGCGTTACCCGAACGCGTGTACCTGATGGACAGTGTGGCCAAGCTTTTGGTGGTGGGGTGTGCTGAGCGTCAAATATGCATTTTTGACTTGAACAACCCCCAGCAGATCTTCAAGACTAAAGAGCTGCCGTTGAAGATGCAGACCCGGGTGGTATCGTGCTACCCGCAAGCGAATGGCTACGCCGTTGGTCTGATTGAAGGCCGCTGTGCCATTCAATACGTCAATGACGCCGAACAAAGTAAGTTGGGCTTCTCGTTCAAGTGCCACCGAGTGCAGAAATCCAACAACTTGCTGGGTGGCCCCACTCTGGAAGCGTACCCGGTGAACCTGATTGTGTTCCACCCGACGTTTTCGACGTTTGCTACTGCTGGCCTGGATGGTGTATTTACTTTCTGGGATAAAGATGTCAAGCAACGACTCAAGGGGTTCCCCTCGGTGGGCGGCACGATCTCGTCCACTGCTTTCAACCGCGATGGGCTGATCTTTGCTTACGCCATCAGTTACGACTGGCTGAAGGGGTTTGAGTACAACAAACCCGACACTCCCAACGTCATCAAGTTGCACGCGACCAAGGACGACGAAGTCAAGCCGAAGAACAAACGGTAAAGAGCATCACTAATGGATTACGAGAGTTAAAGCGATACGAGTATTAAGAGCATTTGATTGATAATAAGATGGATAATGAAAGCGTATTCAAAATTTCAACCACTGTAGTATTAGTAGCATTGTCGTGACGTCTACGCACTATTATTATAGAAACCCTTAAGGTAGTTTTTACAGAGACGTTGTGGTTAACAAGGCACGGGTAATGACATCAACAACGCCAATTTATCAATAGAATCGGGGGTGATTCCATGACGTTGAAAGTATATCTTGGTTGGGGGGGGGGGGCCACTGGNTGGGGTGACTAGGCGTAGTGGGGTATCGATCTCAGGCGGCGCCCGTTTGGCAGAATGATGATGACAGTCCTTATGAGCCCGGGGCCTGATCACCGAAACCAGCCCTGACCGCTCGCGGCTAACGACGGTCACGTGGAGAACGGCCACTAATCGAGGCCGATGAGGATAGATGAAATCGGCTATTATTCGAAGAAAAGTGAATAAATTAGTCGTCACCGATGTGATAGTTAATTTCTAATAAGCCTCGGTGATGGCAGACACGGTTTCGCCGTAGTGTGTGACGGTTCTTGACGGTGGTCCGGTGCCCCACACTTAAGGTTGCCGTAGCGCGTGGAGCGCCTCTCGCTGTTGCTTTTCTGTGCGGACGAGTACAAAGATTTTATATATCAGGATTCTGCTGCGACGGGAATCAGAGGTTGCGAGCGGTACACTACTGGACACTTGAATCGGCATGGCGTTTCCTAAAAGACAGCTTGCGGCGGAGCCGTTTGGCGACCAGCAGCGAGCGATAATCATCAGTTTGAGCCAGCGCCCACCGGCGCCGGTGCTGAAGATGACGGGTCTGCGCGGATATCGAGGAGGCAGCGCCGTCACCGGGGCCCACCCCGGCGGCTACGGTGGCATCAACCACCACGGCACTACTCCCCCCGTGGCTAGAGTCGACATCGCCCGTGGCTGGGCGCTGGCACTGGTGCTGCCGCCAATGCTGCTGACGGTGCCGACACTGGCTCCGCGAGGACCGCTGCCGCCGACGGCGGCAGTGGCGGCGCCTGGGGGTTTCTCGGGTGCCACTGCAGGATCGAAAGATCGGTTTGATCCATTCAGACCGTTTGAGTCGTTTGCGACGCCGCTGGCGCTGCCGAAGCTGGCGCTGTTTGACCGCCGGGCGAGCATTTGGAACTCGCCGGTTAAGGGCGATAATCGGGTTTGGTAATCAGGTTTCTTGGTGACGGAAAGGTTTTAATATTTAATGTGTTTGGTTTTGTTTTTTATGTTAGATAGTGGCATATAGACGGTAAGAGGATAGGGTCTATACTTTACCATCGGGTCGTGTAGCTGGGTGTCGAAAGTCTTTTGTCGGTAATACCGGGGCTCGCAATCGGCGAGTGAGCGCCAAACGGGGACGACGGGCTCACGTGCGATAGCACGTACTTTCCCCCCCTCCTCTCTTCACCGAAAGCGGGTTTACCCACCCCCCTACAGGGAGAGATATCCGAGGTGTTCGGGGTTTTGCCCAGATAGCAACAGCAACAATACCCGTTAATAAATAGATCAGGGGGTGGTGGGAAGTGGCGCCGGTATCTCTCGGACGTTGCCAGTGGCGGATGGGTCCGCTGTTCCGAGCACTGCGTCAGATCCAGTTGTTTCTTTATGCTTGTCGACACTTCCGGCGTCCCCTTTCCTTTTTCCTCACTCACTAGCCCGTCGTCAATCGGCCACAAGATAACGCCACCACTAGACCCGACTAATAACCCTAAAGTAAACGCTTTGCAAACGTGTCACTGTTTTCTCCGATAAGCCTCCATCTTGTTCCTGTCACCGAAGGTTGCCTTAACCTCGCTTATGCCATTCAGTGTATAGGTTAGTGACGTAGGACGCAGATCCTCTCCTCGCAACCTCCACACCTTAGTCGAGGAGGAAAAAAAAAAAAAAAAANGAGAGGCCCACGCCTGGTATCGCCACGGTTCCCCCGTATACGGGAACCACTAAAATTACGCCGGTTTTACCCCCCCACTCGCTTCTCTCTCGACCAAAGTATTGTTGGCCAATAAATGCCGCCGCCAGGCTCTAGACCACACCCCCTTAAATGCCGCCAACTCCGGGAGAAGGGAACGGGTGTGCTCGTACCATTAATTCCTCCCTATCGACACTCAGCGCTACCATACGAGAAAAACTTACCGAGACCCTCACGCCCCCAACCCGTCAGCGACCAGGGCCAGCCCACCCCAATCACATCTCCAGGGGATGAGCCACAACAGCACTCCTCACATGATGAACAAGCACACACCGGGGCTGGAGAAGAAGGGGTTCCCCGATTCTTCGCGCTCGGTGTCCGACGCCGGCGCCACCACCCTGAAGCAGCTCCTCAACGCCTATATCTATGATTTCTTGGTCAAGTCAAGACTACCGCAGACCGCCCGTCTGTTTGTCAGCGAGGCTGACGTGCCACTGGCCCCGCCGCTGGCGCAGACGCCCCAGCCGAACCCGCTGACGCCGCTGGCGCAGTTCAACCGCGAAAACAACTTGCCCAACGTCGCCATCACCATGGACTGCCCTCAGGGATTTTTATACGAGTGGTGGCTGGTGTTCTGGGACGTGTTCCATGCCAAAGGCGCGCCGCCCCTGGGCAAGCCGGCGCTGCTGTACTACCATCTTCAGCAGATGAAGCAACGGCAGGACAGCTGGGCCGCCAACCCGCAACAGGCAGCGGCGCAGTTTGCCCCCCAACCGACTCAGATTCCGGGCCAACAGCCGGTGATGCACCAGCAGATGGGAGCTCCTCAACAAATGGTACCGCCACTGGCGCCGCAGCAGTCCCACCAACCAGGGGCCCCGGGCCCTCAGCCTCAGGGCGATTATAATCAGCGCATGATGATGCATCAGATGATGAAGACCGGCCACCAGCAGTCGCCCCAGGGAGCGCCGCAGCCGCAACCGATGATGGGACCGCAACAGGCTGGCGCCCAACAGTACTTCAACCCTCAGAACCGCATGCAGCAGATGGCCCAGAACCAGATGAACACTTTGCGGCAACAACAGGCAGCCGTCGTCGCTGCCCAGCAACAGCAGCAGCAACAGCAGCGTAAGCTGTCGACGGCAGCGCTGTCCCCGGCGGCGCGTATGATGCCGCAATACCCATACCCCCAGGGCCCCCCTGTACCTGGCGTGCCGCAACAGCAGCAGCCCCAGGGCGCCAACCCTCAGCAACAGGCCAACCCTTATATGCAAAAGGGCCTGCCGATCATCAACGGCGCGGTGCCGCAGCCGCAAAAGGATCAGGCCGGCCACACCCGCAACATGCTGGCGCTCCAGGACTACCAGGAGCAGCTCATGTTGTTGGAAAAGCAGAACAAAAAGCGGTTGGACATTGCTCGTAACAACGGGCTGGGCGACCCGCAAGGGTTTGTCCCGGGGATGATGGCGCCACCGATGGGTGCCGACCAGCCACCGATCAATGGTGCTCCCCAAATGCCTATGAACGGTAATGGAATGACGCCAGCCATGGGACCGGGTAATGGCCCCCAAATGGCGCAACAACAGGCGATGGCGATGGGTAAGCCTCCGATGGGAGTGCTGCCGATGAACAATCCCCAAAAGCCACTGCCAGTGACGCTGACGCTGAGCCCCGTCATTGGCACCAAGCCTCTGCCTAGCGTCAAGAAGAAGGAGGCGGCGCTGGCCAAAGGCCGGCGCAAGAACCTGACTCTGGGGGCTACCGCCAACTCGCAGTCGCAAGCGGCCCCACTGGCACAGCCGGCGATGAACGCTCACCTTAAAAAGGAATTCAACACTCCGCTTACTCCGGCGCTGGAGCCGAACCTGGCTGAGAACAAGCGTAAGCGTAAGGGTTCGGCGCCCACCGATTCGCCCAAGAAATTGCTGAAGACCGCGGCCAAGAAGGAGCTGTCGATCATCGAGGAAACCGAGGAACCGCTGACATCGCTGGCGCAACCGCTGGCGCAACCACTGGCGCAACCACTGGCGCCTCTGGCACCGCTGGCACCTGATAACTTCTCGGTCGACCTCATTGACGGCGGCGTGTTTGGCCTGGGCGGCATTGCCGTCGGCAACTCTGGAGGCATGGAGGAGATTGATTTTTTTAAATTTATGGAGGGCAACGGTGACGCCGCACTTCACGACGGCATGGGGTTCCCCGGCTGGGGTAACGAGGAGATGATGCAGGACAGTTGAACATCCTCCCCCTTTTCTGTTATGGTATGGTGGCTGGCGACACCATTTGTAAAGCATATTTCGCGTTTAATTCAGTAAATGTATTATACATTAAAGTAGTTTTCGAGGGTTTGGTACAGTCTATGCTATGATCTTACTATCCATCCCAAATTCACGGCAGGTGAAGCAAATTTCATTTGTCAGTAAAAAATTTATACATTACAAGCGACAAGCTTCATATGGCGAAAAATTGAAACTCGAAATTCTGGCGGCGGAAGCGAATACCAGGACCATTGAAGTCCCAGCCGTCGCGGTTTTGATTCTCATCATTTTCGTCAATGTTTTCAACAGGAACATTGTCAACATTGATACCTGGGTTTCTTGCCCGCCGCACCTGGCGGATCATGTTCTGAATGAATACGGCAAAGAAAAACGCCAACGTGATGAAGATCACAATGTAATCACCGCTATCGTACGGGTGGCTCTGGTGATCAATATTTGACGCGGTTGTGGGCGCCGAAGCATCGAGGTTGTCGTTGGTCGAGGCGGGTTGAGAGTGACGACGACGTCCAAGACGCTTTATGCGATCAAGCCATCCAGCTCGAGAGCGAGGCTCCCGCCGACGATCACCGATGCTGAAGAAAAGCTTGAAACGCAACCGCAAAAGCGCCCACAGAATCGGGATCCGGTTACGACGGTGATACGGCCGGTTATAGGCTTCGTCAAGTTCATCCTCAAGGTCCATCAGATCACGACTCTGTTCATACAAGCGATTGGCCATGTAATAGTCAGCGGTGCCGTTGCAGCCGGGTGCCTCTGCGTACTCATACATTCGACCCAATTTGAACGACCCTTGTTGCAGCCGGTGATGATACAGCAGCTTATGATAGTAGTGATACGCTTTACTCATGTCGGGCTCAATACAACCAGGAACACCATCATGATATATATCACCAAGAAGCACCATTGTGTCACTATCAGCCAAAGATGCCCGCTTGAGGTATTCAAGGGCAAGCAGAACCCGATGACAATCGTATTGTGGTACGTTGTCCCACCGACGTTGTGCCATCGTGGGTCGTTGGTAGAGTAAATGAGCAACACTCACTTGGGCAGGCGACAGCCCTTGTTCAGCTGCAATTGCATAAAGGATCAACGCCTGTTGGAAGTTTCCCCGAATGTAATGCTCGAAGGCTGGTCTCAACAGCGGATAAAAGAACAGCAGCATTCGGTCCACAAGCACCAGGTAATAATAAGTAAGCAGCTGGCAACGAGGTACCATCAATGCAGGGTCAACTTGCGCTGCAAATCCCAGTTGGACGTAGTCCAAATAATGATAGAGCCCCTTCGTACTCCCATTAAATGCCAGCCAGTTCATTAATTGGTACAAGCGTTCCGCATCCTTAGCTTTCGCAGGATCACCATTAGGAGCAGTTTTCGACATCAACTCAGCAAGACGGGTCATAGCTTCAATCGAGCCTCGATCAATAGCACGTTTGTACGCTCTGACTGCATCGCCATACTCTCCTTGCTTTACCAACATCTGACCCAAAAGATTGTACACCATTCGCGATTTAGGGGCTAGTTTAGCTGCCCGATTCAAGTACTCATTCACTTTCACCATATCAGGGTTTTCATCGGTCATCATTAAAGCTGAAAGCTTTGCCTGGCACATACCCAAGTAGTAGCGATCCGTTTGGGAGTGAATATTATACTCGGGAGCATATTCGTCCTCCCCTTGGTTAACGCATTGTTGCAACACTTCACGAGCCTTTGTAACATTTTTCGCAACCAAATAATCACCCAGAAGGTAGTCGGCGGCCTCATAGTAGTAATAAAAGTAAGCATGGTCCTCCAATTCCAAATTGTACTCGCTAATCTGGTTTCGATAAATCATATGATTTTCACGCGGCAGGTAAACCAGAATCAGAGTCTCACTGATGTCATCACCGTAGATTCCGCCATTAAAGTCGGGAATACGAATGTTGTACAGCACCTCGCCATCCACTGTCACGGGTCGAGGGTTTTTCTCGAGCCAGTCCATCCCGTATTCGGCGAGCTTGTTATAGTACATGAGGGCCTGCTGGCACGTCTTCTTCAGCTTCTTGAGTTGATTAGCCATCACCAACAAGGCGTCGACATTATCCAAGTCCACCGCCTGCTGGTAGTAGAGGTGAGACCGAGCTTTATCAGCTGGGAATTCGGGAAAAAGATCCAGTCCATAAATGAATCCCAACATGAAGTAGGCGTGACCTCTGTTGGTGTCGGTACTGGACTCGTCGTTGGCAATCCGACGATATAATTGTTCAGCTTTGGTCACATTGGGAGTAATGCTATAATTGCCAAACATGTAGATATCACCAAGCATTCGCCACAGTTCTGGAGTATTGGTGGTGTCCAAAACAGGGATCACGTCTATTTCCACAGTTCGTGCCACCTTAGACCGCTCATAATCTCGAACAGGACCTGGGTGGTAGGAAGTAGAATTCCACACTGGTATGGCTATGGAGTGGAACACATTGGATACAATAGGTGCTCCAGGCACTTGAGGAAGCTCACTTAGAGTGTCCACTGCCTCATGTAGCTTGGACGCCGCAGCTAGTGCCGCCCACACTAGCGTCGATAGTGCCACCATGACGTTCGCACAGGTGAAGCGAGCGCTTATGAAGGAATTGATCTGATAAGCGAGGAAACGAAAATTGATTGTGTCAACTATTGAAATTAATCAATTTAGAAGTGGAATTTCAACTGTAGACAAATACTAAAAATGTTTTATAAGAGGTCAGCCATCTGCGGAAACATTTTATGTGCTAGTAGGGTAGGTGATTGCTCACACGACATGCCCACCTCATACATCAGTAAATCCCCGCTTTGAGAAGGTAAAGGTCAACCTTATGGGTGACTCTTAAGGATTTTCTACTTGTGGTTTTAATGAAGGTGAAAGTTACTGCCAGTTACTGCCAGTTGAAACATATGCATGTATGTAATCAGAGACTTCATTCAAACCCCGGATTTGCTGCGGCTAAACAACCCAAAGCCTCCCAAGTACCCACAACATCTTTTCTTAACTTCAATCACATTGAGCTGTAGTAATATTTCGATTTTTCAGCAAATGGTACCTATATCTTTACCATTGATGCCAAGGGTTCGAATCGGAGACGCTCACCTCGCAAATCCGAAAATTTCGCGGATTTGCCAGCACACACGCTACTACCACAGACTATACACCGCCATGGCTGACGCCCCGGACGAAGCGATCTTTCGGCTGGCGCCGATGTGTCTCGTACAATTTTACGTGACCATTGAGCTTGCTCGTGACCTCGTGTTTCAACTCGGCCAACAAGGCTGTGTTCACTTTCGAGACTTGAACCTGAAACTTACTCCATTCCAAAGAACGTTCGTTGATGAAGTCAAGCGCATTGATGAATTAGAGGCGAAGCTCAGATACATTCGTGGCCTCATGGACAAGTACAATACGTTGCTGCTGTATTTCGATGTTCTGGAAGCCACAGCTCAACGTCTCTGTCCAGTGCTGGAGTATGATGCAATCAGCGACATCATCCATTCCGCCAGTTCTCGTCTTGAACAATTGGATGAGTCATACGATCGTCTCCAGCTGCAACTTGATCGGTTGCTGGAAAACAAGCTGGTGCTCGAGGCATATACTGCATTCACATCAAACACCCTCACTGCAGCACGAATGCTGACAGATCTCGACGAACTGGATCGGTTGCGCATGTATGAGGAATTCGACATTGTTCTGGAGGATGAGAGTGACACAGAAAATGTGGCTCTGACTAACAGCATGGCCGGTACTATCGATAAAAATAAAATACCCGTGTTGCGGAAAGTGCTCTGGCGTGCATTGAGAGGTAACCTTTATTTCAATGAGGTAGAGCTTCCAGACCATGACCGCCTGGTGTTCATTCTTTTCGCTCACGGTGATGTGCTCAAGGCGAAAGCCCGAAAGATCATCGGCACGTTGGACGGGGTCATCTACGATAACGTCAAGGGATCAAGAGCCATGCGCCAGGAAACCATCGATGAAATTAATGCGAAGGTTTCTGACTTGAACAATATCGTTGACTCAACCAAGCAGCACTTGGTCACCGAGCTCATGTTGCTTCAAGAACGCTACGCTGATTACGCTTTCCAGATCACGCGGGAAAAAAGCATTTACGAGGTGCTCAATATGTTTGATCAAGATCTGACGCGGCGTTGTCTTGTTGGCGAGGGTTGGATCCCTGATGATGAGTACCACACTGTTCAACTGGTCCTTCTGCGCTTAGTTGCCGACAAGCTGGGCCATAATAGACGAACCCTGCTGGTACTGGAAGTGATAACCATAGATGATGACGACGAAACATTTGCAAGTGCTGTCATTGACAGTGATGATCTTGTCGCTGTGATGAATCACCTTACGACCAATCGTACTCCTCCCACCTACCACAGAACCAACAAATTCACTGAAGCTTTTCAGGCAATCATTGATGCCTATGGGATAGCCACTTATCAAGAAGTTAATCCGGGTTTGGCCACCATCATCACCTTCCCCTTCATGTTCGCTATCATGTTTGGTGATTTTGGGCATGGCGTAATTCTCTTCCTTATGGCATTGTACCTTGTCATAAATGAGAAGCTGATTGGATTAATCCGCAATCGGGATGAAATTTTCGACATGGCTTACCTGGGTCGGTATATCTTGTTATTAATGGGGGGATTCTCATTGTACACTGGGATAATCTATAATGATGTTTTCTCGAAGCTGATGACAATTTTCCCCAGTGGCTGGCAGTGGCCGGAAAAGTTTGAAGCTGGAGCTCAGCTTATTGCCTCTAAGGTTGAAGGGTACACCTACCCATTTGGTCTTGATTGGGGCTGGCACGGAACTGAGAATAACTTGTTGTTCACAAACTCATACAAAATGAAGTTGCTGGTGTTGATGGGTTACATCCACATGAACTACTCGCTCATGTTTCTGTTAGTAAACTTCCGCTTCTTCAATCTGTGGGTGGACATTGTCGGTAACTTCATTCCCTCATTCCTCTTCATGCAGCTGATTTTCGGCTATTTGACGATTACGATCATATATAAGTGGTGTGTCGATTGGCTTGGCACAGGTCGTCAACCCCCTGGGTTATTGAACATGTTGATCAATATGTTTTTAAGTCCTGGGAAGGTTGACGTTCCTTTGTATCCTGGACAATCGATTATTCAAGTGATCCTTTTGCTTGTTGCTCTCATTTGTGTGCCCTGGCTTCTCATTTACAAGCCGTACGTGCTCAACAGACAACATAAGCTGATACTGCGGGACGGACCCCAATATTCTCAATTGGACCAACAATTGGATCGGTTAGATGGAGGATCTCGTCACTCGGCGGACTCATTTGACTTAGAGCTTGAACATTTCCCCAATGAGGATTTGGCACTCGATGCTGGTGGAGGCCACGGTCATGGCGACGAATTCAATTTGGGTGACGTGGTCATTCACCAAGTTATTCATACCATTGAATTTTGTCTTAACTGTGTCTCCCACACAGCATCATACCTTCGGTTGTGGGCTTTATCGTTGGCTCATGCCCAATTGCTGACGGTTTTATGGGACATGACAATACAAAATGCATTCGGTTCCACGGGGACCAAAGGGGTGATCATGACAGTAATTTTGTTTGGTATGTGGTTTGTATTGACCGTGGCTATCTTAGTGGTCATGGAAGGTACGTCGGCTATGCTTCACTCGTTAAGACTTCATTGGGTCGAAGCCATGTCCAAATTCTTCCAAGGTGAAGGGTACGCATTTACGCCATTTAAGTTTAGTATTGAGGTTAACTAGGTATGGATATAAAGGGAAGGTAATACGACACAGACGTAAAAACGCAATTTGAATATGTTCTAGTATCTACGTGATTCTTTCTCTATTTAAATTGTCTATAACATCAGCATTAAAGAGGTGTGATTTTGATCTTTTCCTTGACCGATAACAATTATTATAATCTCGTTCAACCTCCAATCAAATCCGCCACAAAGCATAATACGCCACCCCAAGTTAACTTATCCAAAACCAGTTTGAGCCAACGGGGACGTACCCAATCAAAAATGGCACCACAGTTGTATCCTTCCAGCTCGACACCAATGCCAAAATGAAGATTGTGTCGTATGCGACACACACCAAACACATTCCACCATTTGTGACGTTCACAAGGCACGGAACGCAAAAGATTCTTCAGCAAAGGACCGGTAGGACCATCGATGTATTTGTGGCCACCGATGAAATTGTATTTTTGACGAGGATCGCTCATGGGTATTTCAGCATCACCCCAATGGCCACTGAATTTGAGCCAATGACCGTACTTTTTCTCACGGCCTTGATGTTGACGGTTCCAGTTTTGTGCATAGAACACGTTAATTCCGTCAAAAGTGTATCCGAGATAGTTGCGGGAAGGATTCCACAACTCTCCTCTATCGGTAAAGTCGCAAAGAATATTATAAGGTAAATCATGAGGGAACTGGCCAACCAGAGCGTAGTTAGCATGGGTACCAGTGGCGCTAAAAATAATAGGATGGCGCTGATCAATGGCATACTTTTCCATTGCCTCGTACTTGAATGCTGCACCGCCTCCATGAGCCAGCATCCACACTATTTGCGGCTTCCCATTATAAAAGCGTACAAGCGAGTGTTCCCAGTCACCAACGTGGTTACCGTATGGTCCAGCTCCCATGACATAGGGACCCAAGTTGAACAGGTAGAAGTAGAACCAGAATGCATCGACCCATCCGTTGCCTTTATCAACAACAACAAGAGTAGCAGGGGCCTCTTTAATCAGACCATCAATCAAACTGGGGTGGTTATGTTTACCAGTAATCCAATCGGGATCGGCATCAAAGTCTGTAAGCAGAGTCAAGTAAACGTCATCGCTATTAGGCAAGTCGCCGAGGGTATCAATGGAAACGTTCTCGGCAATAACTGACCCGTTTCCCCAAGTAGCTTTAAAGTTCTCAACAAAGCTGGCAATATCATAAGGCATGTACCGTTCCTCCGAGTATAAGTGTACTAAAGGAGCAAAGTCGATGCAGTAGCGAGGAATCTCCCCATCCTTGAGTGTTCGTTCCTGTGGCAGTGGGTTGGGGTTTATTGGTGGCAAATGGCCCAAGGAGCTGGCGAAGTCGTCGAGACGGCTCAGCAGGTCTCCTAGTACTTTCTGGAACGAGCTGTCATCTATAGAGAACAGCAATGATGCCAGAGCCGCCAGGGCCCAGGTAAGCACCGGAATCCAGAGCATAACGGATGCGGACCGGTTATCGGGTGCCACACCCTACCTATACTGCACTGTTATGAGCCCGTGGTATATACAGCAAACGTCACCGGTAACGGTTGAATAATAGACGTCATGAAGGAATGGATAAGAACAGGTTCAAACATAAAAAGTTTAGTCATTACCAAAAGCTTTCAGCGAGGTTTTGGATACATTTACATCTGCAGCCATGTTTGAAGTAATCTTTTAGTTCAATACGAGTTTATTTCAATACGAGTTTATTGCTGGATAGTCCAATTACATGGCACACGTGGTGAGGCTAAAACCTTCACACATATGACCAAGCATCAGTGACCAGTTTTTATTGTTCATTCGTTGTGACAAGCCTGGTAGTTCCTCTCAACCAAGCAGGACAAGCTACGCTTAATTTAATAAGCATATTGCAATCAATTCTAAGTTAGAGACAACAAAGACACTTCTGCCTCATCACAGGAGAGAGACTCAAGTCTTCTTTTTCTTCATTAAACCACCAACGTTGTTGAAGTCGAATTGTATTTGTGTTTTCGTGTCTCATGCACTCCGAGGCGGACACCGCACTTTTAGAGTTCTCAAAAGCCTTCCTTTCAAGGCTGCTTTTTTTCTCCCCTAGATTGGATTTTGCAGACGCGTCGACCCACCATCTAGATCGGAATGGTCATCTCCCCTTATCAGTCGGATAATCATGGCTGATGCAACTTCATTCTACGGCTGGTAACCACTACTGTTTTCGCAGCGCCTTCCTCAGATTGCCAAGGCGCTGGCGTGCCCTTTACCTTCACACTAAACACCTCTATTGTTTTTGTTCGACAAATGCCCCAAAACCTTGAGTTATAAACGCTATCCACTTAGGAACACGTCAATCATTACACCACTCTCTCGGTTTGTCGTGGCATCGCCACCACCGCCGTATCTAGGTCCCCGTAAGGGTCGATATTACCTGCATGGGCCCAGTGCACCATTAATCCGACGCAAAGAATAGCGTGTAAAAAACACATGGACCCCTTGAACTCGGAGGCAGCCAACATGGCCAACGACCCCCACACGCCGAAGGGGATGGGTCTGCCTCGCTTCGGGATGGTCCTCGAGCCTCCCGACATCCTGCTGTTCGAGTTGGGGGCACTTTCGCTGGCAAACTTTTCCACCGAACTGTTGGACCAGTTTGACAGTCCCACGCCGACAAAACCCTCGCAAAGTCCATTCCGCCACGCCCGCCGCCTGCTGGTGGGGTCACCATTGGCAGGCCGTCAGGGGCGGCCGATGCTGGCGGTGCTTGGCGAGAACGATCTCGTCAATCTCCCTCGACTGCGCAACCTGATGGGACCCATCCCCAAACTGGTGAGTATCAACCTGCTTTACGCGTCAAAAGAGTTTGGACCCATGTTGGGCCCACCGAGGATTGTTGAATCGAGTCCCGGAAGCCACCAGCGGCTGCCACGGTCAAGACCGGTGCTGTTTATTGCTCCCTCGGACTCGCCGGTCGTGCTCGAAGATGAAGAGTTGATGCTGACACCACCAGCACCAAACAATCCCTTTAATTTCACATCACAAAACTTGAGCAATACCAATTTGCTGGTGAAGCCTGCCCATCGGCGAGGACACAAATACAAGCATTCGTCAGTGTCGATGAACTTGTTTCAAGAACCGCCGCCGGCGACGATATCGGTGACTGATCCGTTACCTGAAACCATGCCATTACCTCTGAAGTCTGAGGTATTAAGCAGTATTAATACCACTCAAAAACTCAAGCTATTTTGGCTGGCAGTACATTTTACGCTTGCATTGGCGGTATTTTTGATTGGGTTTCGATGGAAGATCCTGGTGTTCCTGACACTTGCCCATCTAATTTTCTACGACGCCCTCGGACTGTTGTTGGTGGTGACAGTTGATATTATGCTGAATTTTGACATGTGGAACAAACTGCTGCTTAGGTACCCATTTGGGCTCGGGCGCCTCGAAGTGCTCGTAGCGTTTGCTCTTTCGGCCCTGTTACTTATGGTGGCGTTTGATCTCGTCAGTCACTTTGTTGAGGGTGTGATGATAGAAATGTTGGGTCTGGATGAACCTCATGAACATCTGGGCCATCACATCCACGACGAAGGCGAGGTTACCAATTGGTTAGGCTACGAACTAGTTCTTCTTGTGACGGTGGCGGTGACGCTTTTCACCACGTTCACCGTTCGTACCAATCGGATCAATCAGATGGTCAGTGACGAGGATGACGTCCTCAACCCTGAGCGCGATACGTTGTCGAAGCTGCTTAGTCAATATCTCCGGCTGTGGACCCGCAATCCGACGCATATTTTGACGCTAGGGTACACGGCGTACCTTATGGTGCAACCGTTGGTGCCTCTGCTTGCCGATGTGCATGAGCTCGTGTCGCTTTGTGTCGCTCTTATGTTGCTCACGATTGGGTGGCGCTTAGTGAAGCAGTTGGGGCTGATATTATTGTGTGCTTACCCGGCTAACGACTATGATTATGATACCCTCAAGTCGACGATAACTAATGAGATTACTGCGCTCGACTTTTTCCGACATGAGTGGCGTATCGAGCAGATGTTCATCACCAAGTTCAATTACGACCGGGTGGTGGTTGGGATGAAGATTGAAATGCGCGGTGCCACGGCTGACGACGATCTGCGGGTCCGATTCGAGGTCAACCGGATTGTGCGGCGCCATCTTGCGCTTCGAGATGATCCCAAGACGGTGGAAATAACCCTAGACATCCATCGTGTTTAGACATAGACGAATACATTCAACGTTCTTCTCCAATTCCTGACCAAATCCCTGAGCAAGGTGATGAATTTAGATTCGAGGGGTGGGGTGATTATAATTATCAGCTGTTTTCGACGATGATGCGACTTCTAACGTCCACTGCAGTAAATTGAGTTAGCGGGCAAAAGGAAAAGTTGAGGAGAAGTCACCGTTCCACAAAACTGTATCTCTCGTGCTCGCTCAGGCGGAAGCTTTCGGCGACTGAATCCTGCTTCTCGGTGATTGAACGAGTAGGGCGTTTTCAGTCACCGGCCACCCGAAAAAGCCAATGCTGCATCCGCGGCTCTCAGAAAGTTGTTTTTTTGATAATTATTTTGGCTCTATCAAACTAAGGTTAGACATAAAAAACCCGCCTCTGGGCAGTGCTGTAAACTAACCTGGCGGTTATAGTGACCTCGACAATGACCAATCACCGGGTGGTTCACTAGTTGAATAGTGCATCTCTTGTTAGTTACGATAACTAAGTCTAAAGGTGCAAATTCCACGCGTCTTGTGGTTGCACAAACCCCGGTGACATTTCGGAAGCTAAGAAATGTCGGGTAAATCCACTATACTTCCATGGAAAGTTCCGCATGTGCGAATCCACCGTGGATGTGTGGCAGGACTGTGGTGTTATCAATGGCATAATTCCCCTCATTAGAGGTGATCTCTGGGCCGAATGGACCCACGTAGGTTTATGACCCGGTACTATCGGCTAAAGGAAACATACTACTGGCCAAACGCTCAGTGCTGCGCATTCTCCAGGTTGTTGTTGTTCGATTATGGAGAAATTTTTGGGAACAATAGCATTACGATAACGCGTGCACATGATTTAGTTAGGGCGCAGGAAAATTGGCATACATGCTCTGATTAGGTCGGAGTGAGACTAAAAGTCGTCCTCGGCTTAGGCAGCCAGGGGACCTGAGTCTCAAGGGGTGCTGGCTGGGTTCACATGGCTGACCTTGATTTCCACGCGGCATGTGCTGCGCATGTGCCCCACGAAGAATACGAGTGCCGAATCGCTGCCATGTGCCGCTTGTATCTATACGGATGATGAAATCACTCTATTAACCCAGGTTACGTTGCCCTGGACCCAATCGAAGCCAGAGAAAAAGATTGGGGCCCGGCGTTCGGGGGTGGCACTGCCTGTGCCAGTGGCGGTGACCACGGCACTTTTCAGAAAGTAAATCAGTAGCGTGTGGTCACCATTGGAGCGTTTTTGGCGTCGTGATGATGTCCGCTCGACGCTGTCGAGGCTAAGGCGGTCGGGAGTCGCCCCTGCTAGAGCCAAATCGGCGAGGCACGTTCTGTTGGGCGTTTTGGTGGTGCCGTACTTGCACAGGCCGGCCAATGTCAATATGCAACAGTGTGGGGAGCTGCAAGATACAAAGTGGGTTTGGCTTGGGGCAGGCATGCGAGCGAATTTAGTGGAGCTCTCAGAGAGGGGGTGATCTAGCGAGCGGGTAACTGTTTCAATGGTAGTCGCAGGCACCGATATGCGGCGAGCGAGGTTGGTGTTGGGTGGTGCTGGAGGGCACCCGTGGGTGGTTTATTGGGCTAGGGCACCGCCGGCCTCGGCATTTATCTTCCCGGCGGGCCATTATCAGCGTGGGTTTCTCTCCTCCCACCCCAGTTTCTCACATGATCTTAAATCCGCCACTGGCAGCGACAATCACATGCGGTGAGCATCAGTCCTACACACAGGCGCACGACAATAAAAACCCAACCCAATCCATCACGCCCGCAGCTTGGCCCTACCTTCTGAGTAATCCAGAGTTACACCCGCTTGGTACGGCATCGTCTGATTGAATACCCCCATGACCAAGCGCAAGTTATCGTTCAGCGACGACGAACGAGCGCTGCCGGCGCCGGCAATATCCGCAGTGGAACTGCCGCTCGCGCCCTCCCATCCTGATGATGGCTTCCACGACGATATGGTTGACGCCGCAGAGGCGCTCACCCATCTCCACACCGTGACCCCGGTGACAACGCCGCCGCCGCAACAGTTGCCCGCTCAGCAGGTGCACCCCATCGTGTCCCAGGTGGAGCGCCTTCTGAAGACGCCATTGGTGCAAGGCGCCGCCAAGTACTACGAACTGAGTAAGCGCAACTACCCCCACTTCAACTACGCCGCCCGGATGGTGGAGCGGGCGGCGCTCCCAGTGGTGCTGAAGATCGAAGTCAACTTAAATAGTCGCCATCAACTGCGGCTAGAGGCAGCCCAGGTGGCGGAGTTTGAACACAAGTTGCGCCAGCGCGACGGCGACGGCATCAAAAAGCGCCGTCTCTCCGAAGATCTGACGGCGCTGAGTCGCCAAGGTGAACTCAAAACGGTGCTGGCGGAAACTAAGAAGCGTCTTCAGTTCTGTCTTCACATTTTAAAGCTTGCCAATGACAACATCAACGACAAAGTCCATTATCTTCAGGAAGTTATGGACGAGCGCGAACAGCGCCAGGAAGAGCTCGCTAAGGAACTGGTAGAAGCGAAGGAAAACAAAGAGAAAGAAGAGAAAGAGAAGGAAGCCGCCCGTCCTGAGGCCGCCGCCGAGCTGGAGATTGTGTGCACGGTGAAGAAGATCATCCACCTCATCCTGAACTTCAAGCCGCTGTCGCTTCTGACGGAGCCCCTCTCGCCGGTGCTGCTGCACCAGGCCAACCTGACGATGGTGGTTGACAACCAGCTTAAGCTGACGATCCGTGACATCATCTTACGCTTGCCGCTGCTGGTGGCGACCCAGCAGCAGCCGCAACGCCAAGACCGCATTTTCGTGTTTGCTAAAGAGCTGCTTAACATGATCAGCAAGCTCACCAACGTGCTCAACGAACAACTCGAAATGGCTGAGCACTGGATGGCTGACGGCGACGATGGCGGGGATACCCCGCACGGCCCCACGCCGGGGCTGACGACCCCTGGGGGGATGCTGGACATCTCGCGCGTCGACTCGCAGCTGACATTGGCGTCAGCGCTGGCGACGGGTCCGTGCAAGCGGATTCTGATTGACGATTTGACCGAGTCTTAGTCAGGCTTTACTGGTTTGATCTACTGCTCCTAAAGTGCGCCAAGGCGGCGACACATTTTTAGGCTCAAAAAGCCGGCGAGGTTTTTCTTTCAGGTGAAAGCCTCGATCATGCCATACTTGACGACGGGACCGGTGTTCAGTGAACTCGGGATGACAGCGCCCCGCTTCACATGCACCCCGGACGGGGCGCATGTGGGGTATGAGCAAACGTTTTCTTCACCGGAACGCTCTCGATTGCGAGCCCCGGGTGCACTGGATGTTCTCCGCCTAGTATTGTGCCCCTCGTTAACGGCACTCGGCTCGCCCATCCATCGACAAAGCAATGATAATTGGCATCAGCATTAGCGAATCTACGCGTTACTCTTAGGTTATCGCCCGTACTCGCACTCTCCTCTATAGACGGAAATGTATTTCTTTTAGGCTCAAGCCGTTCAGCACCGTAGACAAAAAGCTTGCTTCGGAGTTTGAAATCTCCGAAACAGGGAATCAGCGAAATTTACTGCGGATTGTGGCATCCGCCGTGCATCAAATTCCTCCGAAACCCACTCCAGTGAGTGAAGGAATGGTGTCGTTGCTAGTCATTGATCAATGAGAAAAATTTCATGATTCCTCTGGCCTATTTCGGAATTCAAAAATCCACGAATGAGAGTTTTAGATTTTTTTTTAAAAGGGATGTCTGAAGTCCAAGAAATCGGAATATCACTACGATGTAACTCTATCAACAGCATTCTGTGACAGCAGCATGGCGGGGTAACCCCGGTTGTGAACTCCGGCCCGACTGCCTCAACTTGTGTTGAGCACCCCCCGATCCCACCATTCTGTGAGGTTCGGAGATGTCAGAGGACAAGGAGCTCCCGAAGCCGTTGAGGGGAAGCGTGTGCTTGCTTCTACAATACCCATCAGGCATTGCTGTTTGTCATGCTCTCCGCGGACGTGGAACTCCGGGGTCATCAATAGATATCGGTGTGGAGAGCAAGCAGTGCAGCGTGGGGAATAATCCACGGCATGTGCGCCGCACTACCACGAACCCTAAATGACCTTCGATCGTATTGTAGGGCTGACGGTGCACGGGTGTAGTGATTAATGTTGGGTTTTCGATAAAGTCAGACATCAGTGTCAGACAACCTATTGTAGTCGTGATAAAAGAACTTTCTCTTACACAAATATGATGGAGGTCACTATTAGCCTGCTTATCTACCAGTGAAGTCAGTCCTGTTCAAGAACCCACTATCTCCATGAATCGTTGTATTTGAAGATTTTGAGAAAAAAATCAAATTTTCCAAAAAAACTGTGGTCGAAACGCGGTGGTAATTGGCACACGCGCCGTTTTCAAACAAACAACGGTTTGCCAGATGCTGCTGCTCATTTCGTCTAAGGGTCCTATCGGTTCGTGCTTCTTTGTACCATTTCACCGCATCAGAGAAGCAACGAACAATTACCGAAGTAGGGTTGTAATTTTCGATATGAGGCAGACAGCTGCATGAGGGTACTATCGAAACGGATGCTCTCGTGGATAAATTGGAGGTAACCAAGTGACGAGCCTACAAAGCCCACGTTTGCTGGTCAATTAAACAATTTAACTGAGATCGTCCGCCTGGTTAAACATGCAGTTGGTATTTTAGCTTTGTGCTTGTCTTAAAATTTGCATTTCACGCAACTTTCACTCTTCTTTACGATGGCAGTTTTACACCGTTACCTCAATGGCAAAGGACCGATAAAGGCATCTTTGATGAGACTATCGAACCTTATTACTCAGTGGTGTAGCCAGAAAAGGGTATCTGAGGTCAATCCCCAATCGGGCTTGATTCCCCGTAATAGTCATGGTTAGGTTCCTGAGGGAGGGTACGCAATCTGACGGTTAAGGTTGCCCGGTTCTAAATATACGACGATCGCACTAACGTGATGAGCCATCGCCAAGGTTTCGGCCGTTGACAAGAATTGCTAAAATCACAATATGATCGTGATACCAGGATCATACTGAATCAAATATACCAACTTTCTAGACCTTATTTGCCCTGAATCTAACCATTCTCCTTGCCTTTATCTTCAGATTAGGTGCCATCGAGTCATTAACTGCCATCACGCGCGTTCTGCATACGCCGTCGAAGTTGCCGCTTTGGGCAAACGATGTGCATCGATTACGCGAGCCTCCCCTGACCCTGCCACTACCTACGAGACATGTCAGTATAGGGAAACTGGTGGGGGAGTATTGCTTTGCCCCACACAGTAGTAGCTTCAGCACAAGGGGGTGCCACCGCGTGAACCTGAATAGGAAGTGTGCTGAGCTGAGTATCTCGCACAATAGCTAAAACCATTTCTACGCCCCTATTCCTTAAGCTTTCGATAGGGAGTCTATCGTCAAAGAATGCCACCACCACCAAATTCTCAGGCGGGATCCATACCCGCTATAACGTGTCACGGTCGCAGTAGTATCGCTAGAGCCTTTCTGCAGATTCCCGCATTTGGCATACTGAGAGTCTCTTTTAGAGTGAAAAAGCCTCCTTGTATAGGGGTAAAAGAGATAGCGAGCGACAAGAAAGCGACACGATACGCGTTACACCAAAGGAATAACACATGATATTCACATGGTAGGAATCCAACGTCCCGAAGCGACGGCAGCTGAAAGGATACCCGCGCCCCCCTAAATGTCTTCATTGCTTAATCGGGTATGATTACGAGCCCACGCGCGCACTAGTTATTTCTGCTTTGTGCGACAAATTCATCCCAATTGCCCCAAACGGCTAAGAAAGGTTACCCCAACTAGCACCAGTAATATATAAGCAATCGGCGCCCTCTGCCAGATGCTTTACCCGCAACTTTGACTATGGACCTCACCAGAGGAGATATCCGGGCTCTCCGCGCCCTGTGGAGCCAGTTGAGCGCCAACCCGCTGCTCTTTGACGACGTGTTCCACCACATGGAACTTGCCCACCCGGCGATCGCGCCCCCCGCCACCGAGGCCCGCCAGTTCTCGGTGTTCTTTGGCCACTGTGTCAGCCAGATCGAGCTGGTCGACGCCTACATCATCAGCTACGTGCGCAAGCATCCCCAGTTCGCCCGCAACATGGGCGCTTACGTCGAGCCGTTGGGTTCGGTGTTGGTGACGCTGTTCAAGCACTGGGTCGGCGGCCACAACTTCGACAAGCAGTTGGAGACCGCGTGGGTGAAGTTCTACTGCACCGTCGCCAACGACGTCATGGAAGCTGTCGACTCCTTGGGCGACGCCCTGCTGACCTACAGCGCCGAGGCGCCGCTGGTGGCGCCGCTGGTGGCGCCGTCGATGTCAACGTCGATGTCGACGTCGATGTCGCAACAACTGATCACCTTCAACTTGAAGCAGAACGACAAGTACCGCGGCTTCCGTCGCTCGGTCAACGAGGCCCCCAACGCCAACTTGAGCGTCAAGATCCCCCCGTCGCCCCTGTTCAAGGCGTTGCTGAGAGCTCCCTCGGTATCGCTGCACACGTCGCTGCGCAACTCGCTGCGGTCGTCGTCGCAAGGCCACCACCGCCTGTTCGACCCTCGCGTGCGCAAGCTGGCCCTGGTGTCGCTGCTCTCGCTCGCCACCCCTCAGGTCAACGAACAGCTCCCGTCGCCGGAATTGCTGCCCACTAGGTACGAACTGAAGCTTGGGGCGCTGGCGTCGATGCACGACCTCAGCCAAAGCTACAACCCTTACCACCGCTCGTTTGACCCGCGCAAGCAAGGCCACCTGCGTCGTCCTACCGCCGACGACTTGGCGCCCATCCGCGAACGTATCGACGTCGACGACGTGACCTCCAAGTACTCCGACGAGGACTATGGCTCTCACAAGTCGCTGATCGAAGAAGTTCTGAGTGGCGCCCTGACTCTCTCGTTGCGCCGGTCTCTGGCCTCGCTGAGCGACCACTTGGGCTCGCTGCCTCTGCCTGACTTGAAGCACAACGTCCACGTGCGCTCGCCGCTGGCCACACTGTCGATCTCTTACATGAGACCGTTGGCGTCGCAACTGGGCCGCTTGGCTGCTGCTCCCCACTCGACCGCGGGTGCTATGCCCCACGGTCGCTTCGGCAGACTGACGACGTCGTTGCTTCTGGATTACCTGACCAACACCAACTCGACCGGCAGAGTGTCGGCTGGCTTCATGAGATCCCTGTTTGTTCTCAAGCAGGAAATGGAAGGTATGGGCTACCAAGCTCCCGAACAGTTTGCTAAGCCCCCGGTGAAGGCTCAACGTCAACAACAAATGCCCCCTCTTGTGGCTCCGGTGGCGCAAGCGCCGCCCCGTCGTCGTCATCTGGGCTTATACAACAACGCCCTGGCGGCGCAACTGGAAGTGCTGGTGCGTCAACAACCTCGTCTGCACTACGGGCGCATGCCTAACGTCTACGAAGAAGAACCCCAAGCGGCGCCGATGCTGCTGGTGACTGACTTGTCCCAAGGGGTGACTCGCCGTACTCTGGTAGCTCATATGCCGTCGACGCCCAAGATGGGTGCGCCTTCGATGACGCTGAAAATGCTGGTGGCGCCGCCTGCCTCGCCTCTGAAGAAGGGGTTCCGGGCCAAGATCAAGCTGATCTTCGGTGGTGGCTCCAAGAGCAACCCTCCTTCGCCTCGCCAAGTGAGCGCCCCCATCCCCATTGAACGTCCCATGGCTCTGCAAGCGACCCCCTCGATGGCCCGCAAGCCGCTGATGCCTGGTGCTCGTCGCCATGGACGCAATGGTTCGGTTCTGACTCTGCTGATTCAGCCTCCCCCTCTGTTGGGTTACTCGCTGATGGCGCTGCCGCAACTGCCTCAACTGCCGACGTTTGGCAATCACCGCAACTACCTGACTACCGACCTCCAACTGAACTACCTGGCGGAACTGACGACGCTGGGCTTCCTGTTCTTCTCCCGTCGTTCTCGGGGTCCCAAGAAGGCCAACAAGTACCAGGTTCACTCGGTGCCCTACCTGATCTGGGCCCGTGGTGTCCCCAGTGTTAACTAAGGCAGTTGTATGATTGATGCTTATACCCCATCTCGCCGGCGAGAGGCTTCGTTTTTGATTTTATGGTTTTTACTTTACCTCTTAATATGATTGTGTCGAAGCGTGGTTAACACGGTCTTTTGCATACATCGAGCTGTCTTACGAGGATGTGTCTTATCCCCGCTGGTTTATACTTTAATAAGTTGATCTGTATAGTGGTTACTTGACTTTCCCCCCTTTAGCGTCTCTTGGTGGGAGCGTGTAAAATGGACGGCTCGATTTTCAATACCTTTTGTAGCCGACTACTCGCACCCAAAAATACGAGAACAATAGAGTGGGGTACTTGAAAATGTGGAGTAACAAAATAATACGAGTAATTAATCATACCCAGAGAAGTTAACAGATTTTTGTAAAAGCCACAATGAACAATGGAGAGAATATCTTGGATGATTCCAAGCACAACGTTGAGTTGTGCTTGACTTATGATGCCATTATCACTAGAAAAGAAACAATGTAGTACGATTCCAGCAGCAAACAACGATTGGTAATCTGCTGATTGCTGAAGCGATCAAGTTTAATTACAGCTAACTGGCATGAAGCTCCATAGCTGCCGAAACAAAGCGGAGGCTTATCAACGAATATATATCGCATAAACCTTGAGTATACCGGCGAACCGGCGAACCGGCGATAGATAAAAGCGCATTTACATTAATGATGCGTAGGGAGTCTCGTAGTTCGAGGCAATAGTGTCAGGTGGTACCGACAACGCCTCTTCGTCACCCGGATTTTTAATACAATGTTGAACACTAAATTTCGCACTAAGTCATTGGGCGGTTGGAAGTATTACGGGATCCCTCGAATTCAAACGCGTGTCGCCTTCATCAGGGATTTAATATTTAATCTAGAACTTCTATCGCTTCGAATAAGAGATGGCCAGGAAAAATCAGCACTTGCATGGTGAGTTCTTCCGGGTTAACCTCTTCAAGGCAAATTCCGTACATCTACAATGGTGTCATGTACCCTTAAAGCTAATTTTGCGCTCCTTGAAAGAAGTTCTGCACAGATCAATACGTTCCCAGCGTGAAATAAGGATACGGCCCCATACTATTAATAGTATTAGCCATTGTTGAGGCATCAAGATGGACTCCATTGGTTTTCGGAGGGTGTAGATTGCTTTTTCTTAACGTCTCCTCCTTTTGTTTACCGCGTCGTGTTTAAGGTTTTGGGCTACATTTCTCACCGGCAAAGGTTTTCCTAGGTCTAGCCCCGCACCAAGTGATCGAGCAATACTCGGCGGCATCAGCTGAGCACAGCGCAGTTTCGAGGAGGTGCAAAGCATCCTGTACCTTACTATCCATTCCCAAAATCTGCTTAGGGGTGGCGTCTACAATCTAAGGCGTCTCCTGCCCGCGTACATGACTCTGAACGCGGATACTCCCACTTTGTGACCGGGGCAAAATGCGTCGCGGTGAAAAAACTTTCACACCTGATTGCTGACCGAACACAAGCCCCTAATTATGCTCACTAAGCCATCGAGTAACGTTCGTAGACATCACCGAGGTCTCCTGTAGACATGTGAAGCTTCATCAATAGGACGCGTCTGCCAAATCAATTTTCAACAAAAGAAATGTCGTGCATTCTTTATCCCTTTGGATCTAAGCAGATCGACTATCAAAAACGTCGAGGCGGTGTGGCGACCTAGGGCTTTGAAACTGAGATATTGAGATATGTCTTTAATAGCTTACACAGTGTGGCGTTCAAGGATAATTCCTCAACATTACGTAGATTCCGCAGCCAAATCTTGGCGGCTCCGTCTACCGCAGGGAAAGTATAAGAGGTATTATCAATCGGTCTACTCCTGCGACACGTAATTACAACAATAGTGCAAGGAAAAGACAATGAGCCAAGAAACGTAACCTATTCGATGGTTTCAAAAACCCAGCCACCATCATGGACTCGCTACCGTCTCGGCTAACATGCCGAGTGTTAGCCGGGAATGTTTACAAAGCCTTGGCAATGATACCCCGCCCTCGTTCCATGAGTGCGAGGCGGTCATCTCCGGATAATTTCCTCGGATAAGCAAAGCCTAAAAACGCCTATAGAAAGGAGGCATCAGCGATAGTCAATTGTTATGGGGCAGTGGTGATCGTATCCAGATTTTGGTCGACCGCGACTATGCATCACAAGACGCTTGCTGTACCTTTCGACGTAGGAGGTAGCCCATTTTCAGCATATTAGGAACCTACACGTTAGGCGGTGCGTCTGTTCTGAGCCCGTCAACAAAAGTCATGCGAGACCAGTAACATAGGACCTTAAAAGAGCCCCATCGCCGTTAGTCAGAGTCAGCAATGGATATCTCGCCTCTGTTTACCCCCGTAATGGCCCAGGCCTGGGCTGAGCTCAACGCCGATTCTGACGCCCTCGTGAGTCGCGTCGGCAACGCCATATGCAAGAGAACTACCATCACCAACAGGCTGGGTGTGGAGCAGGACTTCCAGCTCACGGAGATGATGCTGGCACTCCTGCTGGTGATTGACGCCATTTCAATGAACAAGCCCTTGCCCGTCGGCAAACTTCAACGGGTCGCTTGCGTTAACGCTCGGGTGTACGAATTTGACGCTGCCAAATACGCCGTGTGGGGTGATCTGATAGCATCGACACTCAGCGAAAGCTTCGACGGCTGCACTCGCTTTGATTTCCTGCATCATGTGGTGGCATTCCTTAGCCAATTCCTCGAGCTTTTGCTTCGCCTCAGTCACGATGAAGTGCTTCTGCCTGAACCGGAACAGTGCCCCTTCCGCGAATACCGCAACAGCTCGTTGATCCTGGAACTGCCGAGCAGTGCTCTGGCGGTGCTGATCTTCAGTGACAATGGCACCATCAGCACCCAGGCCTCCGAGCCCGCCACCCCGCCTCCGCCTTCCAAAAAGGCCTCAAGATCTCTGTTGAGCCCACGCTCGGTGAAGTCGTCTTCCAAAAGCGCATCCAAGCCTACCTCCCCGTCGAAAGCTCCTTCTAGCCAGAAGTCTGCTTCTCAAGCGTTGACTCCCACGAAATCGTCTCCCAAATCACGGATCCGCCGTTCCGCTTCCCATGGTTCGCTTCAAAGGCTCGCGTCGTTCCAGCCTCCAACGGCACCCCTCCCGCTTTACGCTTCGTTAACACGTAGCTATACCAATAAAACCTTCACTCTGAAGTCGACCACTCAGAAATCAGTGTCGGTAAAGCAAATGAAGGCTCTGGTGTGCGAGCCCACCGAACTACAGGGATCGCATGTCGACGACACCTTCGATATGATCAACTGCTTTGACATTCACCAAGTTGACCTGAAGGCGACCCGCAAGAAGAAGAGAACTGACTGTGTCATCACCTAACTACCATCTGTACTCGTCGCGCTGGCGTTGACGACTGGAAATCATACTTTTCATATGTATATGCATTACACGTTATATCCGACACTACCGCCAATCACCAACATTGTGCATGCCGGGGATGCCGGAATGCATTACACTAATCCTTAATCCATCTTGGACGTGCATATAACTCTATTGTCTTTCCAAGGGATGAACACTATTGTCGCCGATGGCTTGGTATAGTTGATCTTAAACGGTTAAATTACCTGTCCGATATTATCACTCTATTCGCGTTTCCTAATTACTTACAGTGTACATCACAGTTAGCAATATCGTCAATGGAGCACACCCCCTTGTGGGACGGCCCGTACACATCAGCAGCCTCGGGCAGAGGCGACAGCAGGTCGCTGAATTCGGGTTGCACCGTCACTTGGTGGATGTTGTAACGATGTAAAATCTCTCGAATTTGGGCCACCACTTGCAAGAAGCTATTCTTGTCAATGATGTTGCTGTTGCCGGTACCACAGTTGTCGTTCAATCTAACGTGGATCAGGGCAATCACTTGATCTTCGTTCAAGTTCCACACGTGGAACGAGTGGACCAGCTTCACTTGGGGGATGGCCTTGATTTGGTCTTTAATCTCATTGAGATTCATGTTAGCCGGGGTCGCTTGAAGTAAGATCTTCAGCGCCTTGCGGCACAACGGCAATGCTGTCAGGAAAATGATTGCGGTGATAACGAGAGATGTCACAGGATCGGCGTAGAATTTCCACGAGTAGTTAGTCTTCCAGATGACCAAAGCGGTGATGATGACACCAATGTTACCGAGAGCATCCCCCAACACGTGCAAGAACACGCCCTCCATATTAAGCGACTTGCGCTTCTCTGGGGTAGACCCACCGCCAACGTGCGAGTGGCTGTGGCTGGAAATCAAGGGCAGCTCTTCGTCGGGCTGGTACCGTTCAACCACAGTGTTGGGCAAGTAGTCGGCTACGTTCAGGCTCAGCAGGTTCAGGTGGCCATAGACGTTTTCCTCTGCCAGCGAGGCGTGCGAGTGAGAATGGCCCCCGTGCTCGTGGAACAACACGAGTCCCACCATATTCAGTGCAAGTCCCCAGCACCCGACAACAAGGATGAGCTTGGGGTTGGTGACTTCGGGAGGCAGCACGAGTCTGGCGATCGCCTCCATCAAGATCGAAAAACAAAGGGCGAGCAAGAACACCGCGTTAATAAGAGCCCCCAAGATTTCGGCTCTCTGCCAGCCATAAGTATAACGGTCATCGGCCTTCTTGGTATTCTTGACCTTGACCGCCCAGAGGGCAATCACTAACGACACAATATCGTTAAGCATGTGGAACGAGTCCGCCACGAGCGCCAACGAGTGGACGGTGTACCCGGTGATGGCTTCCACCAAGAAGAACACCGTGTCGATCGTCAACAACGCCTTGATTCTTGTTTCCTTCGACATGATGGCGTCCCCTACCGAGATTTTGCACACTTATTGTAGTTGAGCCAGAAAAATACCCTAAATAACTCACAAGCGTCAACACCTATGTGCAGGACGATGATTACTTTTTCACTCACTCCAAGCCGCTCCTAATATATGCCGCACTGTGTTGGGGCAAGCTAGAAGGAACGCAACGCACTGCGGCTCAAGGTGTGGCTGGTTAGGCTTCTATAGATTGTAGGACGTATCGAGGCTATCCCCCTCCGTTAGTGTCTTAACAAATCGACCGATACCGAGGTGCGGCATACGGTGTTCGTTCTGTGGCATCGCTTGACTGCAACCAGACAACGCCACGTTGTTGAAGGTAAGACAAATCCCGGTACCGGCACTGTATGCAGCATGCGTGGAACCCCTCGTCGCCGGTACAGTTGATTCGCCGAGACCGGACAGCCACTGCAGTCACTAAAATATTCCGAACAGTGTCGTAGCGTCGCCATTACCGTCATTGCCTCCTTTTCGTGACTCATCACTAAGGACGTATCTGCCGACAGTCGTGTGGGCGATATCTTCCTAGTCTCCTTTCGCTTACATTTACCTTAGGCGCAATTTACCCCTACGGCGTAATCATAAAGTGTAACGGTGATGATGGGCACAGACCTGCGAAATGGGCCTAATATTTATGCGACAGCAGCCTGAAAAAGTGAAGCCACACTGTCTGTTGCTCGCAATTACGCTGGATGGGGGCAAACGGGGACCCCAAAATCACTACATGTGTCTAATCACCCGTACCCCTCAACCGGCGACAAAATTCTACGAATGACGTAACTTCACACCGGCGAAGGACACCCATTCGCCGTTACGGTAGACAAGCCCGTAGACATGCCTTAGCCGTTATCGCTGACACGGTAACAATTATGTGTACCAGTGATACCAAGACTTTGCCTGCGCTATAATTCAGTTGATGCCAATGGCCCAGGCTTTAGATAAGTCCGTTTAGGGGAAGTTTTTGCGGGCTTATTGGTCACGGTTATCATTGAGCATATCTTTTGCCCAATACAATTTGCTTACTTCACACAATCGTCGAAATATACGTGAGACATTTAAACTCCTGTTTATTGCCGGCAAGTTCGTTATATCGTTAAAAGTTTCGTAACATCGTAAAATAAACCAATCTCAGACAAAACCAAAATATAGTACAAACAAAAAACCAAACGACAATGCTGAGGAGGGGGGAACAACACCGTAACGTAAGGAAGTATCCACGAAGAGTGAATGGGGATCAGTGCTGACGTTACGGGAGAAAACCCCCGAGTCTAATGTGGTATAAGATCACTTTTGAGAACCCATGAGGTCGGCAAAAGTGATGCGCTGCCCTTGTTGTTGCGTTGGTTGCACCTGAGGAATGGGCTGCTGAAAGTGAGTGGTGATGGGCCCGCCATAACCGGGGACAGGACCAGCACCAGGCTGGGGAGGATAAACAATGAACCCTTGAGGGTTGACTTGATAAGTGAAACCGGGATGAACGTTAGCCGGAATCGGGTGAGGCGGATGAGGCATAAGTTGCCCTTGAGGAATGTGTTGGGGTTGGCCGAGCATGGGTTGAGGCTGGCCAAGTACATGCTGAGGCTGAGGATGACCGGGAACAGGCTGGTTCATCATATAGGGAGTCCGTTGAGGATACATCGGCGACGCCGTCGCCGGAGCCAGTCCCGCAGGGTATGCCGTCAGGAGGTTGGATGGAGGAGGCAGCTTAGTCTTGAACGTTGGCTTGGGCAACGCCACCGCTTCAGGACTCAGGTGAAACGACGACCCTGCGTACGAATCACCTAAAGCCATCGGCGTCGATTGGGTATTTTGCTGCTGCTGCTGCTGCTGCTGCTTCTTCTTCAGTTTGTTGCCATTGCCATTAGCGATTGGCTTATCACCATTAGCTGTGGGTTTGGCATTAAATGAGCTGTAGTCAGGCTTGTCGCCATTGGGGAGCAGAGGACTTTTGGCCCGGTTTCTATTTCCCTTTGGCTTGGCACCTTTAGCCTTGTCAGGCGGAACCGCCGGCTTTGGTTTTGTCTTTCGCGTCTGAGCGCCGTGGCCGAAGTCCACTTTGGCTCCGTTAGGTAACCTGCGGTCTTCGACGTGCACAGGAACCTGATGGGGTACCTGATGAGCCATCATTTACTGCAACGAGAGGACAACAAAGCTGGTGAATGTGATAGTGGGGAGAAAAATCGTTGGCGTTAAAAAATTGCGTACTGCAAGGGTGCTATATGCAGGAGACATGTTTGAAGGAAAAAGAAAAGCCAGGAATAAGCTCCCCCCGTCAAGTGTCCAGTGTCTTACATTTGAAAGCCTGAGAAGATTGGGAGAGCTTTAACTCCATCTGAGATGACTGTTATTCCATTAATTTCAAGCATGGCCGCAACCGTGGCGGATGCCAATCCCTCAGAATCCCTTATACACTTTATCTTTCTGTTGATTCTGAGGGAAGAAGGTAGTCGATAGTCGTGTATAGTGATGATTACGTAACCCTATCTAAGAAAG